GGGGGGGTAAGAAATAATTTAGATTTAATTGAGTTGAAGGCCTAATGGACGCGAGGCCAAACTTATCTGTCCTCTTTTAAAGCAGTTGATGGTATCTTTGCATTTCTCCCTCCATCCCTCTCTCTGCCTCTCCCTGCTTTAATCACAAGGGGGCCACGGGCAACTTGTGATGGGCCGTGGCTGTATTGCTGTCATAGTGTCCCTCCCCCTCTCAGCTCATGTGGTGCCTCAGCCAGAGCTGGAGCAAGGACACAACCCCTTCAGGCAACCACCTCCCAAATCTGAAGGGATGAAGCACATGTTGCCACAGATAAACCACTGTGATCAATCTCCTGGATGCACAGTGAATCAGTGGAGCGAAAGGCTTTGAAAATCAAGCCCTGTCCCTGATGTGCCCAGCAATGATTATGTGGTCAGTGGTGCCAAAGGCAACCAGCAAACATCAAGGAACTTGGAGCAGCAGGCCTGTCAGTTCTCAACTCTAATTAAACATACACAAGTAGTGAAGTGATACCATGCCAACAGGGCAAAGGCTGACATCCTTTGGTGCTTAATAAATTGAAAAATCGCGGTTGCCAAAGATATTATTTTATTAAAAGTGGTTATGAATTTATTTCAAACATCAAGGTACGATTGTGGAGATAGAGGTTAGAGGATGTGCTAATTGTGCTGGTCTCTCAGTGAACTGTGTTAGCCACTTTTGTAGCAGCTGTTAGTTCAATTGCTAGCTAAGTAGCCTTCTGTTTGATTGGCCTGCATTTACACAAACTTTATTGGAGCTCGAGTGAAGGTTTACTGGAAGACTGAGGAGAACATTTTCCAAAAAATAGTAATGTCAGATATCAGTTAATGCACTGTATGCAGGGTTTGAATTACACTGGAGCTAAGGGGAGCTCGGCTCTGAAAAAGTGTTCACTTTGTGTCACAGATTATATTTTTTTTTAATGTAAAGGTTCCTGAAATAAAAATGTAAAAAAGTACATTTTTGTTTCTTTATACACTCATTGCATTCCATTTTCTGAATCTGCCTCCACTAACTAACTCAATTTGGTGTCTTTTCCCACTGTGGTCGTCCATGCATGGCAGCACTGTGCTCAAATAACCAGGTTTACGCAGTCACTTGAACTTCCCATCACTGAGTTGGTGCACGATATTTGAATGGCCTGTAAAACAAGTCATGTTTTTATTCAGTATTTTGGGCAGTTTATGAATAAGTCAGAATGTCACATGGGAAACAGGAACCACGCTACAGCTAGCCCGACTGCAGAGGGGGACGCTTCGGCAGAGCCAGACACCACCGCCGCAACAAACCTGGGTCTGAACCTGGTGATGCATCGTTGCCTTTCAATTGCCTCGATGATTTTCACAGTAAGGCCTGAAATTGACTGCGCTGTGCTCACTTATGTACAGTATGTGCATGCATGTGACATGTTAAGTATTGGAAATACAGTGTATTCCTGTAATCCTGGCCTTTTAAGCTAGGCTAGTTAGCCTTTACTTGGGCTAGTTAATGTGTTACATGGTTCTCCATATATTTTCAATCTGCTGCCTTATCTATGAGATAAAACAGATTAAACTACTTAGATGTCTTCACATTAAATATATGTTTTTAAATGTATGGAAACAGGTTTGAAAGTAAAAGTCTCAAATAGTAACTTGAGTTAATTCTCCATCATGGTCATTGTTCCAGAACATAAAAACCTCACGAGACTATTAACCACATCATTTCTGTTCTTCATTGCAATACAGTTTTGACAGGCCCTGCAAGCCATTATTCGAGCTGACACCTTCCACACACTGAATAACAGAAAAGTTAGACAGCTGTTGTGATAGGCTTTATTGGTGCCTGTCTTTAATTTCAATCAGCCATTGCAAAATGTGAAAGACTCAACATTGACTGTGGTGTGACTCCGCTGGGCTCATGCTGACAGTTCTGATGTGTGACAATACAAGAACAGTGTGAAACCCATCGCTGACAGAGAGGCAGCTCTGGCTTGGGACAGTATTTTGCATTGTTAAGCAGGACAGGTGCAACTTGATAAATATTGATTTTAGGTTTTAACATTTTTAGTTAATT